GGAAAAAACTCACATTGCGATATTTTTTTCTGCGATATATACTGTATATATTGCGATATGAAAAAAAATCAGATGATTCAATATAGCTCTATTTGGAAAAAAAAAATCAATGATTGGGGTGATTTTGTAGGCGAGTAAATCAGCATAGGAAATAAACAAATTACAAGCATAGATAAATAAAGATACAAATTAAATAAGCAGTGCTTTTATATTTTTCAGGTAAGTCTAACAGTATTCAGGCAAAGAAATTGAATAATCAAATGTAAAATAACACTGCATAGATTTCACTATAAATTAAATCTAACAAATCTGTGTTAAAGCTACAAAAGTGATTTTTTTTTCACTTTGGGTTTTTTGGTTTGATTAACATTCATTTACATTTACATTTAGCAGACGCTTTTATCCAAAGCGACTTACAATTGGGGAATACATAAAGCGATTCCTCTTAAAGAGGCAAACAGACACAGGAAGTTATTTGTATATTTGTATAGTTGTATTTTATACTTAATCTGTATATCTGTATTTATGTTCTACTGTTAGTGTTATCTGTATGCACCAAGGGTCTGAGAGTAACGCAATTTCAATTCTCTGTGTGTATGTGCTGTACATGTGGAAGAATTGACAATAAAGCAGACTTGAACTTGAACTTGAACTTGAGCTGTAGGTGATATTCTGACACAAAGTTCAAATGATCTGCAACGGTCGCTTTGTCGCGTCCAGTGTAGACAGACTTAGGCGCGACATGTGAACGGCCCCAAAAACTCGTGGAAAACGCCAGCCGCGCCGCTTTCTCCTTCTTTCCAAAGAGCTCGGGAGCCTGCGCTTTCTGCCGTTGCTAAGTGACCGTGACCTGCTCTCTCCTCGACGACTCGGAAGTTTCAATAAAGGATAAACGGATTTCCAGCACTGAAAATCCCTCGCAGTAGCTCTGCTACTAAATGTATTTAAAATGGGTATCTCTGTACAGCTGTCGCGTCCGGTGTAGAAACAGTGTCTCTGTGTGAGCAAAGAAAAAAATCAGTATAAATATAACGATCAGTATACTAAACATCACACATAATGCGATGTGACTATCGCAGATGCGCAAATCGCGATATCGATGCTGAAACGATATATCGTGCAGCCCTACATTCAGACCTGTCCACTTGTGATCAGATCACAGTACTCATGTTAATATGTAAACAGGGGCACTGTGTAACCAAAGAGTCATGTTAACAGAATGGTTCCTGAGAGGGATATGGTTTGTCAATGATTGTATTATGTAACTCTTTGCAGCTGGTCCAAAAAATCCTGCCTAAAGACTAAACCTGGTGGAGACGCGTAATCATCAGGGAATACAACAAAACTAAAAGCTTGACTGACAGCACCAGGAGAAAGATGATCAAGATTCTTACTGCAGATATGACTAAAAAACACCGGTAACCTGATGCCGTCCCAGATGATTCTCCCACAGAACACAAATGACAATTTTAGAAGATCTGGGCCCGTATTCACAAAACATCTTCAGGCTAAAAGTAGCTCATAACTCGCCGATTTAGGAGAAAATCTTAAAAATAATGGGCGTGTCCTAAATTTACGACTCCTACATTTTTGCTCTAAGAGTATTTCACAAAGCGTTTTAGCACTAAAACTAGCTCCTAAATCTGTGAAAGGTTAGGAGCAGTGAAGAGGACTCCTAAGTCACTAAGACCAAGCCACAAACTATCCTAAAACAGCTGTTGCTGGCAATCTGCCTCGTAACAGAAACATTTTAGAAACATTTGACGATAATGGGCTTTTAAAAATGTATCGCCTTTGGTTTTGGAGGTTATCCCAACTCCAGATTTTCCTTTGATTATATGCTTGTTTTCATTAACCAGTTGGGCAAGAAGTAACAGCTGTTCTTGCATCCAGTTTGGTTTTCTTTTACGTTTGCATCTATTACTATCGGCCATGATTATTCTACTGTTAATTAAAAGGCTGTTTATATGCATATTCACTAATTGCTTACGAGAAGCACAAGATGCTGACAATTAGCTGAACATATGTAACCTGCATTTTAAAATCTTTTTTATTTTTAAATCTTTATTTGAATATGGCATCATATCGCACTCTACAATATTTCTATGAATAAATCTCTGACAGAGACTATCAGCCAATCACTGTGTGCATCGTTAGTAAGCATGCTGACATCATCCATAGCAACAAGATCAACCCCGCCCCCTTACTCTTAGCTTAAGACTTCTCTGTATTCCTTATTAATCGCAGTGCCATTTAACTGTAAAATGATGCAATTTTTGTTAATAGGCTTTCATTCTGTTGGCAAGGCTTTAAAATAAATTTTTATTTTTTTTTTGTACCAGATGGTGCCATTTTTTTCAGGTTTGGCCTATAAAGCAAATACTCGCTTAATTCCTGTTTTCTGCTTCTGGATATTATAGAGCCAGTTGGATAAATAATGCAGCTATAATTGTGTGGGTGTGTTGGTATGGATGTCAGAGTGTGGTTTGTATGTGTGTCATAAAAAAAATTGTGTGTGTGCGCGTGTGTGTTCTTGTAAAATTTGAGAGAGAAAAACTCTACTGCAAATCACAAATCCAACCACTGTGTGCACCAGCAGAGTTTTGCTGGCATCTAATGGTGGAAAATTTGGTACTGCGCCCAAACAAAATCTTACTGAAGGCTCATTTTTTGAGATATCAACCTCAAATTTGGAACACAACTTGTTTAGATTTATGGCTTTGATTTTCTAGCAGGTATAGAGTTCAACATGTTTCATAAAAGATATATTTTATATAAAATATCGTTCATAAATAATTTTCATAAACTTTTTTTTGGTTTCACTTTTTAAACATTTTTTACTTCAACAATAATCTGCCATGGGTCTTCTTTAAAATGAGACCAAACTTACCTCTGTGCTCCCAAGCTTCAAATTTTTATGACAGTTTTTTGACATGGACATTTTTGTCCACTATGGACCTATGTGTAACTTTTTTTAAGTGACGCACAAGGGTTAAATACATCGTTCTTCAGTTTTTATTTTTTGATGAATTGCTATGAATGCAGATGTAATGATGACCAGAAATGACCAGCAGCACATATGTTAAGTCTTCTGAAGCAATACTATACTTTTGTTTTGTGAATATTAGATTGAAATTTAAACCTAAAGATTGATCAAATCATGAATACACAGCACAGATGAAAAATAACAAACTTCAACTAACATCCCACAAGAATGGCATCATGACATCTAAAGATCTGTCATGTTTGATGTAATGTAGTGTGTCACTAGTGCTGTGTTCAAAATATCGATACAACGATGTATCGTCACAGAGATTTGACGATACGAGTATCGATACAGCTGGCCCTGTATCGATATTGTGGCACGTGAAACAGAAATATCTGATAAGTGTATGGAGTCAATATAATGCCACATATATATGCAAAATAACAAAGTTTTGCAAAATAAAATAAAGTTTTGCAAAAGAAAATAAAAGTATTGAGAAAAAATAAATATGTTTTTTTGCAAACAAAAATAAAGAATTGAAAAATATAAATGAAACCGCACAAAAGCAATGATTTTGCAATACATATTTTCCATGGCCATATCTAGTAATTTATTTGCAACGCTGCTTTTATTTTGCGTTTCAGTCAAGTTTGAGCTTGCGATACGTTTTTCCCTTTGCGCTTCAGGTTTCTGCGCGTCTCGCTTTGTGGCACTGTTTTGACATGGGGGTGGAGTCAAGGGATGGGGGCGTGTACAACAGGCCTGGGCATGCCTCCCTGGAAGTGACGTCATCGGCCCGAGACGCAGCTCACTGATCCAGGCACCATCGCTGAGCAGAGGCATGTGGGTGGATCGTTTCCATTTATTCTCTAGCATTAAAACATGCATGTTTTCGTTTTATTAACTTTATTAACAAATGTATATGTGTATTAGCAGTGTTTGCTCAAGTTAAAGAAGTTGTTAACATGAACATCTGCTGTTTACTTCTCTCAATGTGCACACTTTTATAGCATTAAAATGTGTATTGTTTCATTTGGTTAACTAAATGTGTTTGTTTAAAATCTCTTAACCTGTGGGAGGACGCCAATGCACAGAAGCGTTCTTTGTTTACATGAGTTCAGAGTTACTGCTAGTTTTAATGTTAAAGAATGCAATTAACTTCATAAACTAACTTACATCATTAAAAAGGTCTACGACTCAAGCTTCATATCGATCTCGACTTCGTTTTTCATTTACATAACTCCTGGCATAAATTATGATGAACACCTTTGGTTTTAATGACAGAAAAAAAAAACTACACGAGGCTGGATTAGAACCCTGAACCTCGAAAATGCGTGACAAAAGTTCTACCATTAGACCACTACAACACAAGAACAATTTATGCGAATTCATTTATTTATTCAGTACTGTGAAGCATTTCGGTACTAATTGTGTTTTATTATTAATACGTTTATTATTAACTTATATTAATATAGTTGCTTGCAATGTGGGCAGGGCCCCGCGTGCGCTGCGGCCCCCCCCGCGGCACGGGCCCCAGTGCGACTGCACTGCCTGTAGTTACGCCACTGCCAGGAGTTATGTAAATGAAAAACGAAGTCGAGATCGATATGAAGCTTGAGTCGTAGACCTTTTTAATGATGTAAGTTAGTTTATGAAGTTAATTGCATTCTTTAACATTAAAACTAGCAGTAACTCTGAACTCATGTAAACAAAGAACGCTTCTGTGCGCTGGTGTCCTCCCACAGGTTAAGATATTTTAAACAAACACATTTAGTTAACCAAATGAAACAATACACATTTTAATGCTATAAAAGTGTGCACATTGAGAGAAGTAAACAGCAGATGTTCATGTTAACAACTTCTTTAACAGGCAAAATTATCAAAAAAACAAAACTGAAAAGGACAAAAATGCCCAAAAGGTCGCACAAGGGTTAAATAACTGTTTATAACATGACAAATTACATCTGGTACAACACTAAAGCCCATCAATTTGTTTAATGTGAATTCTACTTACTTCATTTTAGGCTCCTATCAGTATCGCAGCCGTCTTGTTGCCAATGACATCACACCACCCCTCGCTGCCTTTGCTCTGAAAAGATTGATTTCAAATCATGACAACAATTTGTTAGTATGAATTTTATTAAATAAGACAACGTGAGGAGCAAATAGAGTCAAGTGTTAACGTTAACTAAGGTTAACAAAAAGCCATTATAAACGCTCCTCAGCCCATTTGTTCACTGTTCGGCGGATTTAATCAACTTGATCAGCATCACATGGATATTCTAGATGAAACTGACAAAGCAGATAATAAATAACGATTAACAAAAAGTTTAAAGGTATTGTAATACAGGGAATGTGTGTTTGCTTTACCTTGCTTCAGATCTGTGGCACGAGTGACGGTTAAGGCCCTTTCACACGGGACGTGCCAAGCGTTGGAATCGCCGCGCGGCTGCCGCTTTCTCTTGGAGTGGAAGCGTTTTGTGCAATTGAGGCGGTGGTCGCGTTGCGGTCTCGGAGCGGACATCACCTTTGTATTTACTAAGAACTAAATAAAACATAACGGAAATTTGTGTTTGTCATCCTGTCATTAATTATTGTCATTATTATTATTTTTTTTTCGTAAGCAAATATTTGAGGGAAATATAATTTTAAAGGAACATTTAGAAGATTACTTGTGCCTAAACAATGCATCCCAGGCACAGGGCTTTGCTGGAAATGCAAAAACTTCTTATTGATGTGCTCATGCATAAAAGGAAAACGAGGAGGACAAAATGGGTACATGAACTACTCCTTAACCGAGAAGAGCAGGGAGACTATCATCATTTGGTACAAGAACTTTACAATGACCCTCTCAGGTTCAAGACCTACTTCAGGCTTACCCCTGAACTTTTTGAACTACTTCATGAGAAGGTGGCAACAAGGATCACAAAGACAGAAACAAACATGAGGAAACCCATCATTTCAAAGGAGCGGCTTTCCATCTGTCTCAGGTAAATGCAATAACTTCATTACATTTGTTATAGTTTGATAACTCTTCAAAATACTTGATAACTCTTCAAAATACAATTTTATTACTAAGTGGAGTTAAAAAAAACAAAAAACAAATACATGTTAAAACATTTTTTTAAAGCGTTCTTAATAATCAAAAATGAGTTTGTGTGCATATATATATATCTCCCTGTTACATAAATAAGAACATTAGGTTAGACAAAAGAGCTAACCCAGAACATCAGCCATCAGTTGGGCTACTAACAGTGTCTGAGAACATACAACTGTATATCTGTTTTTAGAGTTACTTCTCTTTAAACTGAATGGCATGCAGGACCCGCATAATTTCAATGCGGGCTGTAGATTTTTGTATCTCGCTCAGTCTCTTAAAAGCTGGTACAAGACTCATGAGGAAGAGTTAATCCTCATTGCCACAGTCTTTAAGCTGCTTGGAGATTTCATCCACCTTTTCAAGTACACGTGACTAAAAAAAAAAGTTCCTGCTGTCTTCGCCTTTTCATTGGTACCTGAGGAACTGATGAACTTTGCTTAGGCATTTGTGAGCTGTTCTCGTTTTCACTCTCAGCAAGTGAATCCTCTCCTGTTGTACTGATACCACTCACTTCCTGCTCTATCTGCACTGTGGCTGGCTCAAGTGTGAGAATAACTTCCTGTTCTTCTTCATTTACCATCATGTTACTGCTTGTCGGCCTCTCTCTCACATGGGGCTCAAGGAATGACATGATGTGAAAGTATTTCCAGACTTTCTGGCTGTCTGCTTCTGACCCACTCTTCTTCTATATATATCTTTTATATATTTATCCCTGAGATTTTTCAATTTTTTCCTCACTTCTTCAACTATCCAGAGAAAAACAGTTTAAAAACAGAAACAGAAAAATAGTTAATACACTGAAACAAATAAAAATTATTGAGAATTATACATACATGATTTATTTGTAGAACCCTTTTCACAATACACATTATTGTTTCAAAGCAGCTTTACAGAATGTCATGATGTTAAATGTTTACAATATCTTATTTTTATATGATTTAGTTGCATGATACCCAATATTAAGTTTTTTTTTAATACAGGTTTCTGGCAACTGGAGATTCATTTGTGAGCATAGCTTTCAGCTACAGAGTGGGAACACTTGTGGATGAGGTCACCAAGGTCATCTGGGATGTGTTGGTGAATGAATATATGCCAGTACCAGCAACGCAAGATTGGGTGGAAATCGCTAAAGAGTTTCAGGAGAGGTGGAACTTTCCAAACTGCATTGGAGCTATTGATGGTAAACATGTGGTGTTACAAGCTCCACCAAACTCTGGGTCATTATATTTAAACTATAAGGGCACACACTCTATTGTCCTTCTGGCATTAGTTGATGCACATTATCCATTTCGAGTTATTGATGTTGGAGCTTTTGGAAGAAACAGTGATGGAGGAGTATTTTCTAGAGCCCGACCGATATGGGTTTTTTGGGGCCGATACCGATATTAGAGAGTTAAAAAAAGGCTGATATCGATATATCGGCCGATATTCTTTGTGTATATTATAGTACAATACCAGTCAAAAGTTTGGACACTTTCCCATTCATGTGTCCAAACATTTGACTGGTACTATATATAGAATACAGTATATACATAAACAGAATATATATACAGTGGTGTGAAAAATCTCAACTTTTATTTGGGCGGAAACGCGCAGACCTCAATGCTTATTTTTGTTGACAACAGATTTATAAATGTCTCATTACGAATACGTCGGACGTATCGCTTTGTCACATGCCTTGTAAAAATTCATAAAAATGTGACTGAGCAACGGACGACTGTATCAGCGCAGATTTTCCTCGCGCTTTGGACTTTGAACCCTGGTTAACAAGCAGATCTGCTGCGAGCTTGTGCAGCGCTGTCAGAATGCATGCAATGCGCATGTGTATTAGAAAACATAACATTCTGCAGTTTATTTACTAATTGTTTAAGGCCATTTTGTGATTTCAATCATCATACAGTAACCAGCAACAATCTTAAGGCCATTTCGCGATTTCAGTCATTATACAGTAACCAGCAATAATCAGCCCTTCCTCTTCTCATTGAAGACATGTGATGCAGTCCTAAACAGTCTCTCGCTGTCGGTGCTTGTAATGATTTTTGCGTCTTTCTCCGACAGTTTAAATGCTTCAACACTGCTGACGTGTGTGCTGCATAATAAAGAGTGC